CGATTCCTGCCAGCCGTTTCCGTCTCTCCGATCAAACGATTAGACTAAGGATGTTTATACCAACACGTTAGACATTTCCGCTAACAGGATGGCACAATGTATCATTTCATCTTTGCAGAATTTTATTTATTACTTTACGAAGTTAGTACATATTTCGAGCATTTCAGTACGTCGTCGAGAAGTGTACAAATAATTTTTGGAGACTTTAATGGTAATCCTTTTAGAGTTATAGCGTACTTCAGGAAGCTTCGCGATTTTTGGCAGTCAGTTATTTAATTATTTATCGAGCAAACAGTCGAAGTATCCTTTTCCGGGTGATTATACAACAGGAAACCGTGTTCTGTCTTTCACAGAAAATTTATAGTGATTGCAGTGTTTACGTTTCTAGGTTGCGCGATTAAATCACGCGGTAAGACCATTTTCGCTGGTCATTCCCTTTCATTCTCATGTTAGCCGTGTCCCGTTACTCGTTTGCCAAGGAATTTCGATGAATTTGTTGCGATTCGACTTGGTCGAACGTAGCCGCGACTTTGATGGCGTTTCCAGACGCTTAAAACACAGGTTTATGGGATGTTAGTTGGACACGCTGGGTGTCCGAACGATTGTGTCGATTACTGTACACCGTACGTCTCGTTAACGGAAACGTAAGACTTGCCACGATAATTAAAGTTAATTAAAATTTCAAACCCGCGACGTTTCTCACTCGTTTTTACGTCGATTGAAATTTCCTGATGCGCAATCGACGGTCGAGTTATGCGGATTTAATCAATCGCCTTACGGAAAATAGGAAATCGAACAGGATTTCCACGCGTTTCCCATAAGGAAGGAATTCAATTAGAAAGTGTACTTTTTTTCTTTTTTTTTTTAAATGCACCAGACACGATTTCGACATTCTACCGTACGATGAGAAAAGTGAATCGAAAAACATATTTCGTAAGGAATTATCGAGCAGGTATCGATAAGAAGCTTACGCAACGTTAAACACACCGCTTCCGAAAGTCGAGTCGTTGGTGGTCAACGATGAGTAACGATCCATGACCAATTCGATGGTCAGAGCCTCGGTTTAGCTTCCATTAACCGGAACGTCGCGACGCTTCATTTGCATAAGACGTACAGACGAAAGGGGGGGCGAAACAACAAGGGAAAAGCGTGAAAATTGCGGAACTTCGGTGTTAAAAGGCGGCGGGTGGTCGTTCCCCTTTCTCAGCGGGTTTCTTTCATTCGATACGTTTCACCTTCCATTGTTTCGCGACTTATCGCGCCACGCTTTCAGTGGCAGAGGGTTGTAAACCGCGCGGATGAAAACACCACGACCGTAATTTGTCGATGTCCGGTAACAATGCTGTAACCTCTTGCACCCTTAACGTTCGAATGACCAATGGGGTGTTAATAAGCATTCGTAAAACTTGGGTGACAAATTGATTTTTATTCGTGGACGACAGTTTTAAGATACAATGATTATACTAATTAAAATTAATTAATTTTTTTCAGAAAAATAATCAACATCATCGATGTCCAATATCTTCGTCACAAAATCAGGACCGTGCAAGAGGGAAGTTGGAGAGACAGCTCGGTCGTTACGGTGAGTACAATTGCCATAAACGAAAAGGTATAATTCGGGGTCGCGGGTCGTTTTTAACCCCGCGCCACGCGTCACGCCCATATCCGGCCGCGCATTTCCGGCCCGCGAAAACCACCGGATTCGACGTGGTCGTGGTACCAGCTGGAGAGAAAAAGAGAGGAGACACACGGACGTGTGTTGTACCGAAACGCCACTCCGTTGGATCTGCACGGGCAAACAGGCGTGGACACGCCCGTCGCAATTACACGAGTGCCTGCAAGTATAATGAGCCATGCGTTTCATTGTGATTTATGCCGCGACCGGCTTGCCCCGTGTCAAGAAACCGCCTTTCTTGTCCTCCTCGTTGTAGATTCCCCCCCGAGTACAAGAATTGTTCCGAGGAACTAACAAAATTTGATAGATTTAAATCGCGTCTAGACTTCCCTGCTGATACGAAAGTTCCGTCCGGATGGTCGGCGACGCACGGTAATTGATCTCTCGAACTTTAGAAATTCTTTCGTTCAATCGCGTTTGCCGTCCGAGAGTTAATCATCGTTGCCGGAGAGAGGTTTACACGCTTGATCCCGGTTCGATAAATCAGCCTTGCCTAAAGAACTCGTCAAAATCGTGACGTGTGACCCGCGCGACATGACAGGCGTCATGGACATCGCGTGCCATGTCGTTCTAATACTATTCGGCTCCATGTATTATTCAATCGGCCAATAAAGAAAACACGCAATTCGTGCGGCATGTGCGCGCACGGTTCGTGTATCGGCGGAGGGTGCTCGTAAATGAACTTGCAATCGTGGAAAATTGTCCTCGACGGGGACCTGTCGAAGGTTAATCACGAGGATTGAGCGGTTACGCTTGACAGCCTTGCCTTGGCGAAAGAAACACGCGAGACGACGGGACGAACCGGCGAGAGGATCTTGTTGTAGATGCGTACCTCTTTTTCGTTTCCCTTTTTTTACCGGCTCAGTCGGCTGCTGACATTTCATCGATGTCCTTTATTCATTTTAATAAGCATCGAACATAAGCGGAGAGAGGCTACCGAGGTTTCACTGGTAAATCTTATCGCGAATGTTAAATAGTCGAATTTAACTAATGTTTTAGAACACTTGTAGATGCAAATGAACCGTTAAGTATACAAGGTACAAGAAAGTCTTAATAAGCAGACATCAGAAAATGAACAGTTCCATAATCATTCACTTACCAATGCAAATTAGTTATTGGCGTTAATCAAAAGCAATTTGCATTATCTCTGAAAGCGATATCGATATGTATTTAATACCGTGAAGCAATCTTGAATGTTTTAAACTTCCTGGACATTCTGACCTCTCTATTACCAGCTTCCATTTTAGCATAAATAATCGATTCAAGAGAATATTCGTCCGGGTTCCATTTGTCCAAAGTTCTCGGAAAAAAGTTGAGAGGAGGTGAGTAATGGCGGCGAGGAGGTAAAAGAAAAAAGGAACGATAAGGTCGTTAGCGGGACAGCTAATCCGGCTGGGTGACTGGGATCGGCCATTACGAGCTGGTTCCATCGTTAAAAGGAAGTTGGATCGTGAATGGGTCAACCGTAATAACGAGCTCCTTACATCCAGATTACACGCGCGCCGCGGAACGGAGTTGCTCGTCACGGCCAGCTTACAAGCGGCTATAAAGCAATAAAAGTCGATTTGCCTGGTGAATACCGACCGGTGATATATCGCTGCTTAGCGCCCACGTAACTAAAGGAGCCCGTCCACCGCCAAACGATCTCCATCGGGGTTATTCCCTTTATTTATCCCGCGAATACCCGCAGAATTATCGAATCATCGGCTCTCGATCGACGCCTAAGGTACAACATTATCTTTACGCGTCGATCTAACCGAGTTTCAAAGGTGCCATCGACCCCGTGCCCTCCCAACTTCCATAACCCTTTCTATTAAAATTTTGTAATTCCAATTTTTCACACCCTCAAGCTTTAATTATCAATTTTCCAATTATTAGCTATCAAAACTACTCCTCAATCTAACCGACTTTCAAAGGTGCCATCGACCCTCCGCCCTCCCAACTTCCATAACCCTTTCTATTAAAATTTTGTAACTCCAATTTTTCACACCCTCAAGCTTTAATTATCAATTTTCCAATTATTAGCTATCAAAACTACTCCTCAATCTAACCGACTTTCAAAGGTGCCATCGACCCTCTGCCCTCCCAACTTCCATAACCCTTTCTATTAAAATTTTGTAACTCCAATTTTTCACACCCTCAAGCTTTAATTATCAATTTTCCAATTATTAGCTATCAAAATTACTCCTCAATCTAACCGACTTTCAAAGGTGCCATCAACCCTCTGCCCTCTCAACTTCCATAACCCTTTCTTTATTGAAATTTTACAATTCCAATTTTTCACACCCGGCTTTAATTATCAATTTTCCGATTATTAGCTATCAGAATCAACCCCTTTTTTCACAGGGTGGTTAGATTTATAAACTCGTGTTTGATCACCTTCCATTTTATTATCACAAGAGATTACAGATTGAATTGAAATGAAATGGACAAAATTGAATTGTAAATTATGAATATTGAAAACGTGGTACTTCGTCAGCTAATGTTAGGTACTTCTTTACATGCTCGTTTCTTCATCCACGCTGGTCTCTGTCGATTTTTCTTTCACCACCATGAGATCGTTGTTCTTTGTACCAACACGAGACGATTTCGAATGGCAGATCGTGTAAGATGTATCCTCCTTGTCCCTTGTGATCTTGTCTCTCAGCTTGTAAAACGTGCTGAACAACATGTTGGGTTTTGCACATTCACTCGCGCCGCAGTCCAATACTGTGCTCTTGCATTTTCGGGTGTCGCACTTGAATCCTGCCGCTCTTTTCACGCTGAAGTTATCGTACATCTTTTTGATCCTCTTTACAGACATCTTGGTCCTTTTCTGTAAAGGTATTAAATATCAAATCAACTAATCAAGAATCGTTATCTCGTCTTACCTTCACTTGATTAGAAATTTGCTGAAGCTTCTTCTTGCTTCTTTTTATCCTGTATCCTAATTTATCATTCTTCTTTGGCGAACACATCGTCTTCTTGCAACTAAAACATTAATTAACATAATCAATGATTAATCGAATTGATTTATCGATCGAAAAACGAATGTATCAAACAACCTTTGGTTGTTTACATCCTTTTTATACCCAGTGCAGTGCCTCGAGCAACCACTTCTAGTAGGTTTTATCCTTTTTTCCTTCAAATTCTTCACGCATGATTTTGTACAGTATTTCGTCGCATCTTTAGATTCATAAATAGAAGTTGGTTCATCAGGGGACATCGATTGACGGTTATGTTGATCGAAATTTGCAGCTTCCGTTTGCGACGACTGCCATCTCTTTGATACTCCCATGTCGCCATTTCTTCCTTCGTTGTACCTTGCCTCTCCGCTCATCCCCTAATTCTAATGTCTTCTACAGTTTCTTCAGTATATAAATGCTGGTGCGAGTCGAACTTGTGCTTTGAAGCGAAGTAGAACTTGAAAGCGGCGATCGAAGTATCCCGTGCTGTCGACATATCAGTATCGTTTTGGTGCCCATTTTAAAATTCTCGTCGTTTGAAGTCGCTGGACACCTTGCCACGATGATGGTTCGGTCCATAAAAGATTCCTTGAAACATAGAAACCTAAATTTATCTATAAAATCTAAGGATCCAAAGTTCTCAAGCAATCTTAATCTAACCTGTTCCCTTTTACACGTTCTTATTCTTCTCCATATCTTCTTCAAAGCTCGAAAGCCTTTCGTAAGTGTCCAACGTAAATTATCCAATTATTCTCTCGAATAGAAACGATAGCATGTTGCAAGGAAAGGAATATAAAATTAATGATCGACTAAAATTTCTCCTGTCAAGACAAAACGAACGTGTCACTTCCGATTAAAAGGATGGCGCCATTGAAACACGCGTTTCCCTTTTGTTTCTCGACTTTTTACTTTTATTCCTTCCCGCTGTTTCTGCTCCTGCTCTTGGATCTCGATCCTCCATGGGAGATTTTATTCTGATTCTGATCCAAGAAACTTCCATCCGCCAACGATTTAAAGCTCTGCGCCGAAACAGCGATGTTTTTATACGGTGTCTCCTGAATATAGATCACACGTTTCAAACTTGTTAATTGAAATTCAATATGATCTAATTATTCGAAATTTTATAAACACTATAATTATGATATAGAATAGATAATTTATAGATGCTTGCTTGCTAAAAGCCTGCCTGAAGGCCGTTCAATGATAATACCGTAATTAGATCCGTGGAGGTGCTGATATCAGCAGCAATAATCTTTCTTCTCGCTGTGTTTTCACTACCGAACGTGTAACTGGGCCTTGGTCTCTGTCCAAAACCTATCGCGCTTTTCGTTTGCCACATCTGTTTTGGTAATTGATCTGAAACAAAATTTTCAATCATAACATTTTTAATTATTCAAGTTTCTATTAGTATTTACTGATTCTGCGCTCTGCTCGTTCCAGCGTTTCATTCCTTGGCGATTCTTTAGAGGTTCCAGGATGAGTTTGAGAATAATTTCGAGGATAAGTTTGAGGAGAATTTGGAGTTTGTTGCCTGCAAGATACAGGACAGTCTTTTAAACAAGAATCGATGGTCCTGAAGGAAAATAAACTCGTAGAAAATTATATAATTTTAATCCTGTTGATTGAATTCTCTCTCACTCACTTCTGATCAACTTGAAAACTTGTGCGAGGACTCATTTTGCTTAAGTTTCTCGCAGTATCTGTATCCTGTTCTTTGTATTCTTTTCCCTCGTCAAATTGCATTTCAGGGCCCTGATTTTCCAAGGATCTTGATTTTATTGGGGTTGACGTTACAAATTCTTTATCCACCTGAAATCGATACGTACATCTTTAATATTCTATATTTTCTTTATTAATTATTTATTCATACGTCGAGTGTTTCTTCGAGCATTTTCAAGGTGACCATCGTCCCATCCAGAAAACCATGAAGATGAGGTAGTTTCTGTTCACAGCAGTTGAACTCCCGTTTCCTGAATATCTTCCACCAACAATTTTCATCTTCCAAAAATCTTTTTAACTTCATCATTTCTGCTATACAATTGTTCACTATCTGTCGAGCGTTGTTCAACTCTGATGTGGCTGGATCTTCGGTTTGACTGGGGACATCTTTATATCCAGAATTTCTCTGTTGAATTTGTATTTGAAAATTAGATACAATTAACAGTGTATCCCTTTACGATTCTTTTAAATTTCTTTTTAATTAATATCGAATGCTTTACATAAACTTTGATGTTTTGCTGAGCAGATTCCAGATCTTGAATACTTTTCTTCAGATGCTGGATCTTGTTGAGCAGTCTCTGAGTGGTACAAATATCATTCTCCACCTGGGATTTAGCGTACTTGCATTTTGTTAGATCACAAAACTCGACCGGCTTTCTGTTCGACGATTGATAACGATTGTCCTGCGGTTGATTACCGGTGCTAGCAGAAATCGGGGAGAAACCACAGGGGCAGCGTAGTCGTTGCGGTTCCTGACAGGGAACAGTCGCAAATACTGATGATCGTGTTACCTCTTTCGAGGAAAAGGGAAATCGTGTAGTGTTAATTAGGTTACGTGCCATTCACTTTGATGTTTTCCTTCTTCCTGTCCAGCAAACTCTACTAACTAATTTCTTGGATGGAGCGGGTTTTCATGGTTTCCAACGAAGTACCTATGGTTTTGTTCGTGTTGTAACATTTTGATTGATATTTGTAAAAATTTTCATGGTTCTGGTGTCGGAGATTCCATCGTCGTTGAACGACAGCGTCATCTGTTTTTTATTTTATTTGCAAATTAAATATTAACAAGTTGGATATTATAATCACTTATAATACTTCTACAATAGAAATGGATGTCTTCTATTAAAATCTAATGAAAAACTGATAGGTAACGTTTTGAAATTATCGCTCAACCGAGATGTTTTACAGAAAGGCACCCTTTCACGTGTGATTTCCGAAACACAAAAACCCAGCATGTTTTCTTACGCCAGGATGAATCGATCGAATCGCAAGGAGAAACGACTTTTAAACGGCCCGTTTAGCATAACGAGCCCTAGCTCTTACGAAACGTCTCGTAGACCCGCATAATTGTATTGTGAACGGGAGCTTAAGGGTCCCCGAGTCACGAGCGTCTTACAAAAAGTCAACGAGATTGTCGCCGCGGAAAATCCGTGTTCCCAAGTCACAGCGTTCCTTTATCCATTCATTTGCAAAGGAGATGAGAATATTGTTCGCCACAATAGCAGGTTTCGGATCGCTTTCTTGCGAACACGCCGTAATATCAGACCTCGGAATTGGGTCATTCAAGTGCAAAGCAGAACCATTCTTCCATAATTCGAACGCTTTTTACAGATTTTTACGAATCGTCGCGCTTTGATTATACAGGAGTGTTGCAAGAAATTCGGATAGAAATCAACTACTTCGTGGCTAGTTTTCAGTCGTAAATCTTCATCGAATCGATTGTCCCGAAATTGGATCATTCAATTGCAAAGCAGGCAGTCGAGGCGGGTACCAGGTCGATTTTTCAGCGTCGTCGTCGGTACGCCTCGTTTTTCCATCCCAGCTACGGGATTTCGGTCGCGTGAAAGCCGTGAAAATCGACTCGGTATCAGCTTCACGAATTTCCATTTGAAACGACCCTTTGACTCGCCAGTTTCACGTTAAACGCTGACACAAATTCGACGCGGAAATTTCGACCGGTTCATTCGTTCCATTCAAACGCGACGTGCCACTCAAAGAATCGAGTCAAATTACAAACACGTACCTTTCATACAGATAAAAAAAAAAATTCCATTTTTATCCTTTCATCCTCATCGTATTAATAACCATCGCGATATTCGATTGCTCTGGAAAATGCAACAAACCCGTTGCATCGTAAATCTCGAAACGGATTGTTCGCAAAGGTTGCGCGATCCGAAGCGGAGGAAGCGGAGATTCCAAGGGGTTTTCGAATATAACTCTAGATGACTGGAGTTCTAGCTGGCTAGGTAGAATTCGAGCATAGAATTCGGCACGACTGTAAAGAGGCAGGCGTCTAAGACCATTTGTCGCGATACGGGAGATCCTGGTCTTCCGGCGCGCGGTTGACAGGTAGGAAACAGGTAAACGCGCCGCAGGATCCCCTTTTTTTTCACGTCCGACATGGTTCACCGAGGGACAAAGGGGTACGGGACGACTGAAAGATCCAAAAGCCAGCCGCAAAGTCAAAATAAAGTAATTGTTGCCCCTTTGTCCCTGTCCTCTTACATCCACCCACTACTATGTATTTCCTTACTTCTTTTCTTTTTTTTTTTACTGAAGGATATTCTAGTGAAACAGGGAAAGTCTTTCTTTCGCTAAAACAGTCGTTTTTTTATTTTAATTTCAAATCGATCACAAGAAGATTCCTTCGCAATTTAAAAATGCTCCTTCCGCGGGACAAATAAAGGCGGCGAATTTTTTCTCCCTCTTTTCGTGCAAGATACATGCTACGTGGCATGGCCGATTCCTCTGGATCAGCACGACTTGATCACCATTTATGGCTTTCCCAGGACAAGATCCTGAGGACCGCTGTGAATCGAAATGGAGGACCTCCTACGGTTACATCCGACAGTCTCACCACCGACTGTCTCTCCCTGTCTTTCTCGATCGTTCCTTCTCCACGCCGCTCGTATATCGATCGCTCGAAGATTGTCAACGCGATTCGTGACACGTGAAAACCTTGAGAAACGTCGAACCTCAAGGTGTACCTTACTCCCGACACCGTGGCGAACGTGTTGGGTGGTCGCGACGAAGAACACCGCGTTAAAGTGAATAGATAAAAGTGTAATTCTACGCGAACGTTTCTGTTACACGTGAATGTATTCGAAAGGTATCTCAAGAAGGAACAGTCACTTTGTAGAGTAACTGGTATAACCGTGTCGTTTCAGAGAAATTTACTGTTCGTTAAGTTGGCTCTTTCATATTCCTCCTATCACTGTTACCTTGTATCTTCACTCCAACAGAGCCATTCTTCTTTATACGATGGCAGTAAAAATGTTGAGGCAAGGAATGTGCTGGACCTTCTGTATAAGGATGGGAGATACCTTCTGGTTGAGAGGTTAAAAAGTTACTCCAATTTCTTTTCTTCCCAAAGCGAACTCTTTATTCTGCACCGCGCCGGTGGTATTAATTCGATTAATTAGCTTCCATGGATAATTTATGACACGGTCATGCTTGACGATCATATAGAATCATCAATAGAAGTGATTCGTTACTAGTAATCAAACCGGACGTGTTATACCGCTGACAGAAAGGGATTCGAGAAACGCATGCTGGGTGGTCGTGTGCCATAAAACGTGTTACGTTCTTAATATTATGCAGTCCACGCAAGTGTGCGGATGTATATATAAAGCGGTCCGAATTGTCCGGCAGCTTAGCGAAAGAAAAAAGGGCCGCGTCGAGGAAAAATCGTGGCCGGTGCACCGAAACCGAAAAAGGAAGAACGGAATGCAACGCGAACGAGCATCTCCTTTTCTGAGCTGCGCGTCCTCCTTACATACGCTCGTTCTTACCGATTTCACCGTGGATCGAATAATCTCGTCTACATGAACGCCGGCCACGCTTGCCTAATTGGCGATCACATTCATCCGCGGCGGCTTATTTGAACGAATTTAATAGCTTACTTTACCAACGGGCTTGGGACACGATCTCAAGACCGTTCCCTTGAGAAATCGAAGAATTGAGCGGTTGGAATTGTAAACGATCCGGGTGATACAAGTAAAATTTCGTTCCTTTATTTTCCCATTTACATCGTTTCTTACTTGAACGTTATTCGAACTTGCAACATTTATCGCTTTTACAAATTTATCGAATTTATCAAAGTTCAAAAATCAATATTGTAGAAGAGATCTGATACAATTGCAACATTGGTTCCCCTGGTAGGATTTAATCCGGTGTGTCGCATGTAAGAGGAGATTAACTGCACCCATCGATTCCAGGGAAGCTGAAAAGTGGCTACTTTTCCACGTCCTTGGTTGTCGCGCGACATCCTACCGTTATTGTGGAGTCCAGGGCCACCCTGAATGCCGAAAGCTCGTCGACTTTCGCGTTTCGGCTCGTTTCATCCCGGTAAGGCGAGTGCATAGATCACCAGGTGTCGCTCTGTTTATACCACAAACGTCCAAACAAGTCGCCGAGTCCCTGGGGTCTATTAAGTGCGGACCTTTCAAAAGATCTATTCGACTAGGAAGGGAAAAAAAGAGAGGTATAGGGCTCATTGTATACCTGGATCCAAAGATCCGTCCATTGATCTGACCGCTATACCAGCGTGTAAATATCGTGAATAAACCTTAACTTTTCGATCTATCCAATTTTCTAACCGATTAAGAATTAAACGAGTCGAATGGAAATCTTTTTGGTGTCGATGCAGGCTTTGTTTCGAGTCAGCCATCACCGTTTGACAGTTATCGGTGGTACACGGTTATGTCGTTTCCCTTCTACTTTCCTCGTTCAGCTAGGTCCTATCGATTCTTATCTGGCGATACCCTGACATCCTTTCCTTGATCTGCCGACACCGACCGTCGACGATATCCCGGATGCTTCGACGACGTCCTTCGAAACAGAATTCTTCTTACCCACCTTTTTCTGCAGCGAATAGATCTTGTTACTCCTTTCCTTTCCATTTCATTTTTTATTCATTCGCATTATAATCCAAATTCATATCGCGTTGCAGGTTTCTACAAAAATTGACAATTTCTTGGAGCTAAATAAAAAAGAAAGATGAACTTCGATCTCAGCAAATAGATCACGCGTAAAATCTTTCAGTTGGTTCTTCCTAGTCGTCGAAGATCCTATTGGAACCTATGTATTCATTATCTCTCGCGTGTAAGAGTATACGCTTCTAATGATCGAAAGGATCGTTCGGTTACGCCCTGGTAAGCAGCGCGAGTGTTTCAAGAGGGATTAGCATCGAGCACAGGAGGCTTTGCAAGCGTGATTAGGAAAGTCGACACACCGTGGACCCGGTGGTCGACGAGGCGACGAGGCCAGCGCACGGACCTCTTGGAAAGACCGGTAGCTCGATGGTTCTTTTACTTTTCTTTTCCTGCATACGGGATCGAGCCTCAATATGGAGGTGATTAAACCGCGAGGCGTTTGATAGCGAGCCTTTACGTTTCCGTGACTTCGTAATTACGCGGTACTGACCGTTGTAATGGTCGAGCTGGGCCGGTCGTTAAGGGAAATTAAGGAGCTGCTTTCGTTCGTTCGAATGTTTACTGCCAACCGCTTGCCAATCGTAAATATTCGGCTACGTTTCTCTGTGCTCGTAATTAGCCTGAGAACAGAGGATTTCTAAAGAGCACCGTACCCAGCTTCGTTATCTAGACGCTTCTGTCGGAATAATAAGTTCGAAGCTGCGCAACGCCTTCATCAATTTTAGGATACATTCTAATGCGATTTGATGACTGAAAAGTATTATAAAATAACACTCACGATATGTCAATTTGAAGCTTGGAGTTTTATTAAATTATTACATAAACATTTCATTTGGTAAATCGAAGACGATTGTTAGATTCTGGAAGAACTCTCGAGGTTCTTCATGCAGGCGCCTCCGAGTAGAGGGCAGCATCAACAAGAGTGAAGAAATTGCAAGGCACAAAGGAAGCAGTGAGAAATAGTCAGCTGTGTCCCTTCTTCCTTTTCTCTATCATTCAGGGAGGTAACAGGAAAAATACCCTTCAATTTATTTTTATTCCTAGCATACCTTCGTTTAGTCTCTCTGTATATAAATAAGGACAGATATTTTTCTAAATAATTCTTTATTTCACTCTCTCGATTGAATGTCAATTTATTTCATATAGGATTCTAACGAAAATCCATTAGGCAAAGATCGTTTATTCCATGGTAATAGGAGGACGAGGCTAAGAACCCGCTAGGCGACCCTAAAATTACCAAATAGATAAAAAAGGAAGAAAGCTAATCCCCTCGTCGGTGTTGTGCGGCGGATATTAAGAGATGGCCATCGTAGCGGTTCACCCCGTATAATTTTTATGGGGTTCCCCGGCCGAACCGCCTGCCAAACGCGATGTTTGTCGGTAGTTTACAGATTCGTAAGATCATCTGTTGTTCAGTTCTCGTGGAATCAGAGGGTGGAGCGTTTCGACGGAGGGGGCGTTTCGAAAGAGCGTTTTCACCTGGAACTCTATGGAGGTTCCATGCTTGAAAATACTGTGCGAAAGGAATTTTCCCATGACAAGAGGATTTTCCAACAGGAAACATTAAATTATTGCAATCTCCGAACAAAAAATCATTAAATTTCTTTTTATAACACTGTCATCGTGGCCGATTCATTTCGAAGAAAAGAATTTCATCGAAGTGGCAATTAAAATATGCAAATTCTATGTCATATAACCGAAGCAGGATCGAAAGGCTGTTAACGATACGATACGTTGACTGACGTCGATTCACTTTTCTGCTTAATTTCTTCGCGTATAATTTTATTACCAACGCGTCTCGCCTGCTCTCAGACTTTATTTCACTGCTCGCGATTGGAAGATCGCAATCTTTTGTGTAATTAATTGGAAATACCGAGATGGCGATAAGCGGCTGATTT